GACTGTGGGGGAGGGGGACATTAGAGCGTAAGCTCCTCTGGTGCAGAGACTGATGGGACTGGGGGGGGAGGGGACATTAGAGTGTAAGCTCCTCTGGTACAGAGACTGATGGGACTGTGGGGGGGGGACATTAGAGTGTAAGCTCCTCTGGTACAGAGACTGATGTGACTGTGGGGGAGGGGACATTAGAGTGTAAGCTCCTCTGGTACAGAGACTGATGGGACTGTGGGGGAGGGGACATTAGAGTGTAAGCTCCTCTGGTACAGAGACTGATGTGACTGTGGGAGAGGGGACATTAGAGTGTAAGCTCCTCTGGTACAGAGACTGATGGGACTGTGGGGGAGGGGACATTAGAGTGTAAGCTCCTCTGGTACAGAGACTGATGGGACTGTGGGGGAGGGGGACATTAGAGTGTAAGCTCCTCTGGTACAGAGACTGATGTGACTGTGGGGGGGAGGGGGGCATTAGAGTGTAAGCTCCTGGTACAGACACTGTGGGCTCATGGATGGGTGGGTGTCAGTCTGGAGGAGTGTGCGCATTCCTAGGCAGCCCATATTTGCATACAGGCAACACCCACATGTGATGATAAGCCTCCATGATTGAAAGAACTGAAATCCAATGAATGTAAAGGGCGGGTCAGGCTGGGGAAGAAAGAGCTAGATGATGCTGGATGTATTCCGGTCAGGAAATGAGGTGGCCTCTGTCAGCTTGCTTCTAATACACATTGTGAGAATCTCCCCCAGCATAAGCGTCTTGCAGTAGTTGTGCAGCAGAGCTTACACTGGGAGAGGAAAAAGCAGCAGAAGAATCCATTCTGTCCTGTTGCAGTGCAAGGAATGTGCTGATAGGAGGAGAGATCACAGTGACAGAGAGATGAGCTCATCAGTCTGCTGCTTCTCCCCCACTGTCCAGTCATAGGTTGGGGGGTAGGGAGGAGACCTGTCACTGAAAATGAAAAGGCAGAAGAAACAAAACAGGTTTTCTTCCCCATCAGACAGGACTGTACAGTGTGGCAGAGCTGTGCAAATCACAGGACTGGCTTGACAAAAAAAAACCTGCTGGTGCTTGTAGTTCTATATTGGCTCTTTGTTGCTACCTGGATACTGGAACTGCTGGGACTTGTGGTGCTACCCTGACTGTTGCTGGTGTCAGTCTAGGTGGGGCTGCTGGGTGTGACACACACTTGTTACCACTTGTCCCCCCCCCCATCCTGGTCTCTTCCATCCCCCCCCATCCTGGTCTCTTCCATCCCCCCCACCCACTCTTGTCTCCCCAAACCCCCCCCCCCACCCCCCAGTCACTGTTCCCCATAATCCCTCAGACTGTCACAATGAATTCCTGAGCGCACTGCGCAGTCCCCCCTCCCCCGCCGATCGCCCAGACACAGAGACAGACTGATCCAGCACAAATGTCAGCTGACCAGAGGAGGGCCGGACCCGGCACAAAGAACATTCCGATGTATGGACGTGATCCGGAGTCATTAACCCCCGCACCTCCCCCTACCCACAATCCCTCATTGTGTATCTATGGGCATGAAGAATGATACATTGACACAAGTGATCGAGGGGTTGATCAGGGGTTCCCACCATCCCTGTGCTGAGTTCCCGGGTCTGTACGCCCGCTGGGCCCATTATGAGGGGTTCCCACCATCCCTGTGCTGAGTTTCCCGGGTCTGTACGCCCGCTGGGCCCATTATGAGGGGTTCCCACCATCCCTGTGCTGAATTCCTGGGTCTGTACATCCCCCGCTGTGGCCCATTATGAGGGGTTCCCACCATCCCTGTGCTGGTGGGGAGATCACTGTACTGGAGCTGTACCACATTATGAGGGGTTCTCCATCCCTGTGACAATGTTTCCGGGTCAGTACATCCTTCCCCATTTATGGTTGTCTCCTGTATAGGGGGGAGATCACTGCTGGAGAATCTATGGACACATAGGTAGTCAGAGGCTCCAGATGAGGACAATGTTTTCAGAACCTTCCAATCAGATTGTCTCCTCTGAGCAGAGGTGTCATGGACATCAGTTGTCACCCAATGAGTAGAGGTGTCATGGACATCAGTTGTCACCCAATGAGTAGAGGTGTCATGGACATCAGTTGTCACCCAATGAGTAGAGGTGTCATGGACATCAGTTGTCACCCAATGAGTAGAGGCGTCATGGACATCAGTTGTCACCCCATGAGTAGAGGTGTCATGGACATCAATTGTCACCCAATGAGCAGAGGTGTCATGGACATATGTTGTCACCCAATGAGTAGAGTTGTCATGTACATCAGTTTTCACCCAATGAGCAGAGGTGTCATGGACATCAGTTTTCACCCAATGAGTAGAGGTGTCATGGACATCAATTGTCACCCAATGAGCAGAGGTGTCATGGACATCTGTTGTCACCCAATGAGTAGAGTTGTCATGTACATCAGTTTTCACCCAATGAGCAGAGGTGTCATGGACATCAGTTGTCACCCAATGAGTAGAGGTGTCATGGACATCAGTTTGTCACCCAATGAGCAGAGGTGTCATGGACATCAGTTGTCACCCAATGAGTAGAGGTGTCATGGACATCAGTTGTCACCCAATGAGTAGAGGTGTCATGGACATCAGTTGTCACCCCATGAGTAGAGGTGTCATGGACATCAGTTTGTCACCCAATGAGCAGAGGTGTCATGGACATCAGTTGTCACCCAATGAGTAGAGGTGTCATGGACATCAGTTGTCACCCAATGAGTAGAGGTGTCATGGACATCAGTTGTCACCCAATGAGCAGAGGTGTCATGGACATCAGTTGTCACCCAATGAGTAGAGGTGTCATGGACATCAGTTGTCACCCCATGAGTAGAGGTGTCATGGACATCAGTTGTCACCCCATGAGTAGAGGTGTCATGGACATCAGTTGTCACCCAATGAGTAGAGGTGGAGCTGTAGGTGGAGCCGGGTGTCCTCCTGGTCAGGTTCTGCTGGAGCTCTGTTGGGAATCCTGATGGCATCAGAAACCTCCCCCCAGCATGTCCATGGTCTCCCCTCATCCACTGGAAGTCTGAGAGACCCGATCCATTCAACTTCTGGGCTTTCGTTCACTATCTGCATGGAGTTTGCATGCTCTCCTGGTGTTCGTGTGGCTGCCCCCTGGGTACACCCCACATCCTCCGAGACATGCTGGTAGGTTCCATTGGCTGCTGCCTAGTATGTGTGGATCTGGAGCTGTCCCTCGCAATATCTCTTCCCTGTCACTAGAGGTCCTCATTGTTCTAGGATGAATGACAACAGCATCATTCAACCCACTTCCTTGGACCTTTTCCTAGCCAATGGCTGGACATTAAAGGAGAAGCGCCACAGTGATGGGCTCATCTCTAGGTCACTCTGCTCTCTCCTCCTATCAGCATGCTCTTTGCACATAAAATGAACTGATTCAATCTACTGCTTCTGAGCTCAAGGTATCCCGGATCAGCCTCCAACCTAGATCTGGACAGTGAAAGGAGAAGCAGCACAGGGAAAGGAGAAGCAGCACAGCGATCTGCTCATCTCTAGGACACTTTGCTGGCTCCTCCTTTCAGCATCATACTTCTCAGCTAATCAGCTCCTTGAGCTGATTCTCTTTCACTTTCTTGGGCCCACCCCCACCTTTCCCTAGCCAATGACTGGACATTGAATGGAGAAGCGGCACAGTGATAGGCACATCTCTAAGTCACTCTGTTCTCTCCCCTATCAGCATGCTATTTGCACATAACATGAACTGATTTTCAAACCTACTACCTCTGAGCTCCAGTCATCCCAGACCAACCCCCAACCTAGATCTGGACAGTGAAAGGAGAAGCAGCACAGTGATCAGCTCATCTCTCTGTCACTCTGCCCTCACCTTCTATCAGCAGGCTTTTTTGCACATAACATGAACTGATTCAATCCACTACTTCTGAGCTCAAGTCATCCCGGACCAGCCGCCAACCTAAATCTGGACAGTGAAAGGAGAAGCAGCACAGCGGTCAGTTCATCTCTAGGACACTCTGCTGTCTCCTCCTTTCAGCAACACACTTCTCAGCTAATCAGCTCCTTGATCTGATTCTCCCTCTTTCATTTCCTTGGACCCACCCTCGCCAATGACTGGACAGTGAAAGGAGAAGCAGCACAATGATCTGCTCATCTCTAGGACACTCTGCTGTCTCCTCCTTTCAGCACCACACTTCTCAGCTAATCAGCTCCTTGATCTGATTCTCCCTCTTTCACTTCCTTGGGCCCACCCTCGCCAATGACTGGACAGTGAAAGGAGAAGCAGCACAATGATCTGCTCATCTCTAGGACACTCTGCTGGCTCCTCCTTTCAGCACCACACTTCTCAGCTAATCAGCTCCTTGATCTGATTCTCCCTCTTTCACTTCCTTGGGCCCACCCTTGCCAATGACTGGACAGTGAAAGGAGAAGCAGCACAATGATCTGCTCATCTCTAGGACACTCTGCTGGCTCCTCCTTTCAGCACCGTACTTCTCAGCTAACCCACTCCTTGAAATGATTCTCCCTCTTTCACTTCCTTGGGCCCACCCTCGCCAATGACTGGACATTGAATGGAGAAGCGGCACAGTTATGGGCTCATCTCTAAGTCACTCCACTCTCTCCTCCTATCAGCATGCTCTGATAGCATAGTTAAGTCCATCCATACACGCCAGCACAATGCATGTCTGCCTTACCTGTATTAATTCATCCGTCCAGATCTTGTTGTCCATCTTGAGGCTCCGGACCTTGCTGATGTTGGGCCCCAGGCTGCGGTGTTCCCCTGAGAACAGAACTGGATATATAAGAAGGAGAACTTCCACCAAGGCGGAGGAACATCGTATTCTAGGGCTGGGGGTGGCCCCTCACCTGCGCACTTCTTACAGATCACCACGCAAAGGTTGATGGAGGCCCATTCGGGATTCAGCGCCTCGCAGTCCGCGCAATGCCTGTTGGCTTCCACCGCCCAGATCTTCTTGGCTACTTCAGGGTTGGACAGCGCGCCCGCTACAGACTGCATCATGGCTTCCACCCACTCCGCCCGCTCCTGCTCGCTGTCCGCGATGAAACTGGAGAGAGAAGAGAAGGTCCCGGCAATGAGAACGCACAATCCAGGAAGAACACTTCCCTCCCGTCTGAGAGTGCAATAGTCAGCTGTTAGGAGGGCCATCAAGGAAGTCAACAAACTCCCGAAGACTATGTGTGGGTCCAAGGGTCACCACATGACTGAATCAGCTTCCCATAACACAAGACTTCACATGGTCCTCGTCGGACTTCTACAAAGAAGTTCTGTCACCATATCACCGAGAAGATGCCTACTAGGGGGGCACCACCACCAAGAGGTTGGATGTCTATGGGTCCTCAGCCAGGTGGCTGCCCCGATACTCCTCTCAATGGCCCTGCTGAAAGCAGTGGGCTGGCTCTTGAGAGAGGGGTTCAATGTCTTGATGGGTGGAATGTTAGTCTGGAGTAGTGGCTTTCCTAGGCGTGACGACCACCCTAGGTACCGCTCACATGTGATGCGGTCAGTATATTTGGCCTCCATTGTATACGGCCCCCAGGGAATATTTGGTACCCACTGTATAAGTCCCCAAGGGTATATTTGATCCCACCATGTTAAGTGGTCCTCAGGGTATATTTGGCACCCTTTGTTTATGACACCCAGGGTATATTCAGTCCCCCAGGGCACATCTGGCCCCCCATTGTATATGACAATCAGGATATATTCAATTCCCCATTGTAAAATGGCTCACAGGGTATATTTGGCCCCCACTGTATAGGTTGAATGACCCCAAGGGTATATTTAGCCCTTTAAAGTATATGCCCCCCAGGGTATAATTAGCACCTATTGTATATGTCCCACAGCGTAAATGTAGCCCCACTGTATATGGCCCCCAGGGTATATCTGGTCCCTAGTATATACAACCCACAGGGTATACTGTATGTGGCCCCCACTGTGTTACAGGACGCTGTTACATTTGCACATATCGGTGTATTGTTACATCGCGGTTGATTTCCATATATTGTGTACATATAATTGCAGTGTGTACAGTGGATATAAAAAGTCTTCACACGTTTTCCACGTATAATGTGTTCTATAAATTTTACAACTCAATTGAAAAACAAACTGAAATCTTTTAGGGGGGGAGAAGTAAACATAACAAACTAGAATAATGCAGTTGCATAAGTGTGCACGCCCTCTTATAACTGGGGATGTAGCTGTGTTCAGAATTAAGCAATCACATTCAAATTATATAGGAGTCAGTACACACCCACCATCATTGAAAGTGCCTCTGATGAACCCCAAATAAAGTTCAGCTGTTCTAGTGGGTTTTTTCTGACATTTTCTTAGTCGCATCCTACAGCAAAAGCCATGGTCCGCAGGGAGCTTCCAAAGCATCAGAGGGATCTCATTGTTAAAAGGTATCAGTCAGGAGAAGGGGACAAAAGAATTTCCAAGGCATTAGATATACCATGGAACACAGTGAAGACCGTCATCATCAAGTGGAGAAAATATGGCGCAACAGTGACACCACCAACAGTGACATCACCAACAGTGACATCACCAACAGTGACATCACCAACAGTGACATCACCAACAGTGACATCACCAACAGAGACATCACCAACAGAGACATCACCAACAGTGACATCACCAACAGTGACGTCACCAACAGAGACGTCACCAACAGAGACATCACCAACAGTGACATCACCAACCGTGACATCCCCAACAACGATACCACCAACAGTGACATCACCAACCGTGACATCCCCAACAGTGACATCACCAACCGTGACATCCCCAACAGTGACATCCCCAACAGTGATACCACCAACAGTGACATCACCAACCGTGACATCCCCAACAGTGACACCACCAACAGTGACATCACCAAGAACTGGACGTCCCTTCGAAATTGATGAAAAGACAAGAATAAAACTGATCTGGGAGGCAGCCAAGAGGCCTACAGCAACATGAAAGGAGCTGCAGGAATATCTGGCAAGTCCTGGCTGTGTGGTCCATGTGACACCAATCTCCCGTGTTCTTCATATGTCTGGGCTATGGGGTAGAGGGGCAAGGCAAAGAAACACCTCCAAGCCCGGCTAAATTTTGCAAAAACACAACTGAAGTCTCCCAGCTGCATGTGGGAAAACGTGTTCTGGTCTGATGGAACCAAGGATGGACTTTTTGGCCATAATTCCAAAATATATGTTTGGCGCAAAAACAACACTGCCCATCACCAAAAGAACACCATACCCACCGTGAAGCATGGTGGTGGCAGCCTCATGTTTTGGGGCTGTTTTTCTTCAGCTGGAACTGGGATCTGAACAGTTCCAAATTCTGGTCAATATCGGCACAAAACCTTCAGGCTTCTGCTAGAAAGCTGAACATGAAGAGGAACTCCATCTTTCACCATGACAACCACCCAAAGCATCCATCCAAATCAACAAAGGAATGGCTTCACTGAAAGTTTTGGAATGGCCCAGCCAGAGCCCAGGCCTGAATCCGATGGAAAATCTGTGACCATAGTATCATTAGAGAATCAAATGAGAATTCCAAACGAACATACTGTAATGTGTACCCCAAAATGGAGGGAAGAATTATAAACATCTAATAAAAAAGGTTTCCTTATGAAATTTGTTCAATAATGGAGTCCACAGTGGTGCTACAGAATGCTTATTCATACGAATGTTTGAACAAATTTCTACTGATGACTAGTTTTATTAGACGTTCAGGTTCTTTCAGAAGATGGGGTCCCTTCCGGGCATTGATATGATTGGCTGAACCCCCCCCAAAAAAAAAAAACATCAGACCAATAAAATTCTACGAAGCCTGACCACTCCACCGATTCACGTCAAATGCAAAGATCATTAACAAGACTTATTCATAACTCATGCATAGATTTTTGAACCGTTTGCTGAAGTCCACCAATCAGATGGGTACTTCTCAAGGCGTTTCGTGAACCAAAACCCACTTCTTCAGGAGAAAATTTGCGGAGCGGTCCAGATACGTCTATCAGCTAGCTCTTTCAAGTCAGCCACAGTCAATAAAACCAACAACAACCACGACTGTGTGTTGCCAAGCGTCTGACCTGGGAGCTGTGGAGGGGATAGTGAGAGAAATTTCATATCCAATTGCCTTGAGGGCCTGTGGGCGTCTCAACTTTGTGTTTCAGGATATTGGGTGAATCAGCACATTTCAAAGCCAAGTCCAAGATGGTCACCATAAGCCCTCTCAACTCGAACTGTGAACCAAAGTTCAGGAGGAAATGGATCGTCATCAAGCCCTCCTTGTCACAGCTTTAATAGGAATTACTGCTGGTCTATACTTTGGGATATCACTGGACCCAAATCCCATAGGGGATAGTCTCCTTCTTGGTCCTTAAACCTTGAAGCCCTTCAGGGTCCTTACTGGTCCATATGACCTCTCTGTAAAGACTGCGAAGGGCAGCGAGGTTTGCACCAGCTGTAACTCCTATTGAAACTGTGACACAGATGACCCATTTCTTCCTGAAGAACAGGACTTTGGTTCACAAAACGCACAGGGAAGTTCTCATCTGATTGTTCTTCAGAAAAAAGTTGTTAAAAAAAAATGTAGATGGTTGGCCCTCAGTTCAGGTGCACACACAGGCCCGGTGTGGATGGGGAGTTATTTAAGTTTCTGTTTAGTGATCATACCATTTATTGGTCGCCCTATTTTGGGTATCCCTTTCTTAGGGTGACAACAACGAGATTTTGATGCTAGATGAGTGTTGTGTTGGACCACTAAAACTGGCAGAATTAGTTGCAGTGTTGACGGGCTTTTGTTATTGGCAGAGCTGCTTTTCACCCCATGCAAGTCAATAGGAATGCAGAAACAGCTTGAAGCAGGTCAGAAGTAGGTCAACTGCAGGTCGGGAGACCAACCACAGGTCAGGAGACCAACTTCGGGTCAGGAGATCAACCGCAGGTCAGGAGATCAACCGCAGGTCAGGAGACAAACCGCAGGTCAGGAGACCAACTTCAGGTAAGGAGACAAACCGCAGGTCAGAAGACCAACCGCAGGTCAAGAGATCAACCGCAGGTCAAGAGATCAACTGCAGGTCAGGAGACAAACCGCATGTCAGGAGACCAACTGCAGGTCATGAGATCAACCGCAGGTCAGGACACCAACTGCAGGTCAGGAGATCAACCGCAGGTCAGGAGACCAACTGCAGGTCAAATGCACCCATCAATGAATTTGGTATGATCTCAGAAGTGTCTCAAACTGATGTCAAAAACAAGCCCAAAGTCAACGAACATGTGCTGGATGTAGGCATTAGAGGAAGGAAATTCTGCTGGGTTGCCCATAGCCTTTAGCCCATAGCCTACTGTTCCCTGGAGGAACTGAGGACCTCCTCAAGACCTAATGTCCTTGAGCACTAAAAGTAAGGCATATTCGCACCCAGGCAGAACCTGCTACAGGCCCAAACCTCTTCTCCTCACCTGAAGGTCTTGTACGGTGTGGTCAGATCGAAGCACTTCTTGTCCACTTCCTTCACGTTGCCGACATTCATGTCAATGGAGGTAATTCCGACCCCGGAGAAAAAATCCTGCAAGGACACAAAGCAGCTGTCATCTTTTTTCAGGACACAAAGCTCTCCCTGCTACGTGTCTCATAAGAAGTTTTATAGGATATTGCAAAATGACGGCGAGGCCAACCCCATGCCCGGGGGAAGGAAGGTGCTTGGCAGAGATGCCTGCATGAAGGGTGCACAGAACCTGGCGGGGCGTGCCATGGATTATGAACATTAAGTAGGTCAGAAAGCCTTTGCCTGCAGATGTATCTTCAGCCTGATGGTCGACCGGCACCCACCCTTCTTGCAGACATATATGTCAGGGCAATAAAAAGCATGAAACATATGCAGAACATGCTACAATACATGCACTTTGCAAGTGTTTTATCCCACTAAACATGCAACAAGTCCCTGTTTATCCATTAGAATTCCAGGAGGCTCCAACTTCTTCTTTGAGGGGGCAACACTATGGGTTTGATGGACTAAAACTGGACATTGCAAAATTCTGGTGCGGCTGGGCATGGTAGCCAATCAGCTACTGACAGGTCAGGAGACCAACCGAAGGTCAGGAGATCAACCGAAGGTCAGGAGATCAACGAAGGTCAGGAGACCAACCGAAGGTCAAGAGACCAACCGCAGGTCAAGAGACCAACCGCAGGTCAGGAGACCAACCGCAGGTCAAGAGACCAACCGCAGGTCAAGAGACCAACCGCAGGTCAGGAAGCCACCGCAGGTCAGGAGACCAACCGCAGGTCAGGAGACAAACCGCAGGTCAGGAGACAAACGCAGGTCAAGAGACCAACCGCAGGTCAAGAGACCAACCGCAGGTCAAGAGACCAACCGCAGGTCAGGAGAACAACCACAGGTCAGGAGAACAACCACAGGTCAGGAGATCAACCACAGGTCAGGAGACCAACCGCAAGTCAATATCTCTTGGATGGGCATGGTAGCCAATCAGCTACTAACATCAGCTTCTTCAATTAGGCCTTGACAATAAAAGCTGATTGGTTTCCATGCAGAGCTGCACCGGCTGGTTCAGTTGCAGACCCCACGCAAGGACCACTGGTCTGGTGTAGCTCTCAGCCTTTGTCCTCTGCAATGTCGGAGATATCAGGCACAGGGGGGTTCCCCTACACATACATACAGGGATTTCCTTCCAAGTAAAACAACTGCAGCCTCAACTTTCAAGGGCCTGCCCGCAAAATGTGTGTGTAGCCAGAATCCTGAGAGCACCTCAGAGGGTTACTGGGAGGGTACTTCCTGTGCTGTGCACCTACCTATCCACTGCAACCAGAATCCTGAGAGCACCTCAGAGGGTTACTGGGAGTGTACTTCCTGTGTTGTGTACCTTCCTATCTACTGCAACCAGGATCCTGAGAGCACCTCAGAGGGTTACTGGGAGGGTACTTCCTGTGCTGTGCACCTTCCTATCCACTGCAACCAGAATCCTGAGAGCACCTCAGAGGGTTACTGGGAATGTACTTCCTGTGCTGTGCACCTTCCTATCTACTGCAACCAGAATCCTGAGAGCACCTCAGAGGGTTACTGGGAGGGTACTTCCTGTGTTGTGTACCTTCCTATCCACTGCAACCAGAATCCTGAGAGCATCTCATAGGGTTACTGGGAGTGTACTTCCTGTGTTGTGTACCTTCCTATCTACTGCAACCAGGATCCTGAGAGCACCTCAGAGGGTTACTGGGAGGGTACTTTCCTGTGCTGTGCACCTTCCTATCCACTGCAACCAGAATCCTGAGAGCACCTCAGAGGGTTACTGGGAATGTACTTCCTGTGCTGTGCACCTTCCTATCTACTGCAACCAGAATCCTGAGAGCACCTCAGAGGGTTACTGGGAGGGTACTTCCTGTGTTGTGTACCTTCCTATCCACTGCAACCAGAATCCTGAGAGCATCTCATAGGGTTACTGGGAGTGTACTTCCTGTGTTGTGTACCTTCCTATCTACTGCAACCAGGATCCTGAGAGCAGGGGCGGACTGACCATTCAAGCACTCGGGCACTGTTCGAGGGCCCGGGGTCAGTAGGGGGCCCCATGAAATGACCCTGGTACCTTTTTTATAGGCTTTTTTGGCTTTTTATAGGCTTTTTTGGGTGTGCTTTGAGTGTGGGCAAGGACACAGGGGCCCATGGTCCCCTATTGCCCGGGGGCCCCATGAGTTGTCAGTCCGCCCCTGCCTGAGAGCACTCTACAGGGTTACTGGGAGTGAACTTCCTGTGCTGTACACCTTCCTATCTACTGCAACCAGAATCCTAAGAGCACCTCACAGGGTTACTGGGAGTGTAGTTCCCATGCTGTGTACCTTCCTATTTACTGCAACCAGAATCCTGAGAGCACCTCAGAGGGTTATTGGGAGGGTACTTATTGTACTGTGTACCTTCCTATCTACTGCAACCAGGATTCTGAGAGCACCTCAGAGGGTTACTGGGAGTGTACTTCCCATGTCATGCACCTTCCTATCTACTGCGACCAGAATCCTGAGAGCACCTTACATGGTCACTGGGAGTGTACTTCCCCTGCTGTGTACCTTTCTATTTACTGCGAACCAGAATCCTGAGAGCACCTCAGAGGGTCACTGGGGAGTGTACTTCCCCTGCTGTGTACCTTCCTATTTACTGCAACCAGAATCCTGAGAGCACCTTACATGGTCACCGGGAGTGTACTTCCCCTGCTGTGTACCTTTCTATCTACTGGTCCAGAATCCTGAGAGCACCTCAGAGGGTTACTGGGAGGGTACTTATTATGCTGTGTACCTTCCCATCTACTGCGACCAGAATCCTGAGAACAACTTACTTGATTACTAGGAGTGTACTTCCCAAGCTGTGTACCTACCAATCCCTACATGTATCTCCAGTCACAGGCGTACTGTGCTGTGCACCTTCCTATCCACTACGACCAGAATCCTGAGAACAACTTACATGGTTACTGGGAGGGTACTTCCTCTGCTGTGCACCTTCCTATCCACTACGACCAGAATCCTGAGAGCACCTCAGAGGGTTACTGAGAGTGTTCTTACTATGCTGCGTACCTTCCTATCTCTACATGTATCTCCAGTCACAGGCGTACATGCGTACTGTGCTGAGTGTACCTTCTTATCTACTACGTCCAGAATCCTGAGAGCACCTTACAGGGTCACTGGGAGGGTACTTCCCATGCTGTGTACCTACCTATCCCTACATGTATCTCCAGTCACAGGCATACAGCCAGCTGCATGAAGCCACAATGTAATACACGCAGATCTCGTTGAAGATTCTGACCTGTAATAGGTGAGCTGTTTGTTCTGCTTTTACAAGAAGTTTTATTGGCTTTATAAACAGTGAAATGTAAACAATACAAAGGCAGATGTGACATTGGATAACGATTGTTACAACAGAGAAAGTAAATGGTAAAATAAGCAGAGCCCAGATTTGCGGGTCGCACAGAGTACAGGGTTGGGCAAACATTGAAAGTCTATGTAGCTATTCCTCTGGGTGCCATAAGGGTGTGTAGAATGTAGTCGAATGGAAGAGAGGGGGGGGGCAAAAATGATGGTGCCTCCAAAGAATTGGCTGCATACATACAAGCATGGGACTGGAGGGCGGTGGGTGGGAAAAGGTGGAAAAGGAAATGGGGGAGGGGATGAGTAAGGGTGGAAGCATCTGTCAGGGGATGAACCTGGAGTGAAGATTAGGAAGGGTAGTAAGGAGAAGGGTGGTGTTGGCTGGGGATGGTGAAGGGAAAAGAAGCAGGACCGGGACAAGGGGTGGGCAGGAGGGGCAGCTGCCCCAGGTACAAGAAAGCAAAGAATAGACAGGATGGTATGGCATATGTTAAAAGTCGGGGAAGGGGGTGCAATTCTGGAACCTTGCTCTAGGTGCTGGACGACCCAATCCCGGTACTATGTAGATAGAGAAGAAGAAAGAAAAAAGGGTGAGTGGAGGAGGATGTACAATATGAAATGAAAGTCTTGTAGAACGTTTGGGGAACAGGGAGTAGAAGAGGAAGCAGGCCATTCCCCTTTGTGGAGACCAGGACAACCAGAAGCTTAGATGGTGGCGGGACGTGGGGGTAAGTATGGGTATGGGAGGGGGGGTTATCTAGGTCTGATGGGCAGAAAGACCAATCCATTGTCATCATACAGACAGGAAATTCTCACACCTGTCTAGGGGTATTGAATTAAAATCCATGGAGGTCCAGTCAGTAAATTTTTTTTTTCCTGCACAGGTCCGAATCGCATGTTTGATTCCTAATGGCACCTTCGCGGCAAATGCAGCAGTTTGTTTTGGAACGCCAAACTGCATGGGCTTGGCACTGCGCACTTTATATAGGGTCAGGGCCTTCTTTTTCTGCGTTTCTGCATGTAAAGCAGCCCATTGAAATAAATGGGCTGCTTACACTCAAAATGCAGGTTGCAATGATGTAAACGTAGACTCTGATCCTTCACAGTCCCATTAATACATCAGTGTTCTCATTCCCCCCCTGCACATCAACCCCCCGGCCCCTTCGTAAGGCCCTCCTTCTTCACAATCATGTCCTCAGCTCCCCGTCATATCATCAGTCATCAGGTCCATTCAGGGTATGTGGAAGGCGGCAGGGGAGAGAGTGGTCAGGTCCAGGCACGGGTTGTGGAAGGTGGCAGGGGAGAGAGTGGGTCAGGTCCAGGCAGGGGTTGTGGAAGGTGGAAGGGGAGAGAGAGTGGTCAGGTCCAGGCAGGGGTTAGGGCAGGCGAGAGGGGGAGACAGTAGGTCAGGTCCAGGCAGGGGTTGTGAAAGGTGGCAGGGGAGAGAGTGGTCAGGTCAAGGCAGGGGTTGTGGAAGGCAGCAGGGGAGAGAGTGGTCAGGTCCAGGCAGGGGTTGTGGAAGGCGGTAGGGGAGAGAGTGGTCAGGTCCAGGCAGGGGTTGTGGAAGGTGGCAGGGGAAAGAGTGGTCAGGTCCAGGCAGGGGTTATGTGAAAGGTGGCAGGGGAAAGAGTGGTCAGGTCCAGGCAGGGGTTGTGAAAGGTGGCAGGGGAAAGAGTGGTCAGGTCCAGGCAGGGGTTGTGAAAG